AGAGAGAGAGAGAGAGAGAGAGAGATGAGGTAGGGGGGAGGGGCTAGAGAGCCGGGTGATAACCAGGGCTAGTTTGTTTGTATTTTATGGCCCAGGATATCGATCCATTGAGATTTTCCGGGGGAAATGTTTCCATGTTTCATCAAAATCGCCAAACATTGATTGTAGTTACAAATGAACTCTACAAAAGAAATAAACCAACAATACTACAGAAAATTGTACTACAGGGTATTCGGCAGAGAAGCCTTCAAATTCTACGCAAAATTAATTCCAAAATGTTTCAAAAGTGTTTGTTTGTGTGTTTATTTGTTCGTTTCCGAATCCTCCGAAGGATGTCACAGCAGAAAGGTGTGTTGAAATTTATGCTCCAAACAACATAGTTTAGATTATTTAGGAAGCGGGCTGTTTCGGTGCTGCTTGTCAGGGTATGGTCAACCCGGGCTGAGTGAGATACAACACCCTCAAGTAGAAGGAGAAAGACGCTCGATATAGCGACATCCCAGCTTGGGAATAGAACTTAAATGCTTTCACGTGCAGCAGTACACGATGAAAGTGCTCCGTAAAACATAGGGATTGAAAGTGAAAGTACTCCATAATACACCAGGACTGAACAGACTAGTGGTCCTTCGTGCATGACGTCATGGTCATGCCCTTTTGCCGCTCAGGGATTGGAGACCCCGGGGGCGTGTAGTCGATCAAGTAAGTTCCGAAGGGAGATCTCAACTAGACCTTTACTGGACATTGCATCCAAGCCGAAAGATGGATAAAACGGAATAAAGGTGTTTCCCAAAAAGGGAATTAAAAGAAAGCCTATTGTCAGCTACGAAGAAAAAAAAGCGCCTATAATTTCACCATAGATGTCGGTTCTGGTTGGACACAAAATATCTTTATTATAATCTTCAAATAGAAATAGATGCTCTAACAAATTGTTTGTGATTTTGATTCTATGATAATTTGCAAATGTACAGACATTTAATTGATTCGTTTTTATTATTCTATATACATTTTATGTATTTGAAATTGATTTGAACTAATAGTCTGTTTAGACCTGGTGTTTTATGGAGTGCTTTCAATCCTTGTGTTTTATAGAGCACTTTCATCGTGTGACAGCGCAGAATTATAGATCTTCACGCCAAACAAAATAATGAATTTATCTTCCCATGAGCTTGGCAGTATTTCTCCATAAATAACAAGAAGCCGTTTCTTTCTGCTCGTTTTTTTTGCGCTTATCTCTTTCCTCCTCACCGACTCACAGCACAATACTTCAATTTCCATAACAAACGTTTTAGCTTGATTGTAAAAGAACTTCTGTTTCATCATCACACGATTATATCAATTCTTTTTTTTTGTTGGTACAGTGCAGAAAAGCTACATTCAGATGATGGTAGTGGATGATGAATCACAATAGAATTCTTGCATCGTTTTGATGTGATATTTCTAAACTGCATACACAATGGTATGCCACTGTTTCTATTTTATTGTTTTGTTCAGAGGCTACTTTTATTATTTTTCGCATGGTTTCAACGCTCTACTAGTCATAAATAGGTTATTTTAACGACAGGACTAGAGCTGTGCGGATTTGTGGCACCCGGGGAGGGGAAAAGTTATGGGTTTTTTTTTGGGGGGGGGGAAGGATGGGGGAGGAAAGCAGAGGAGAAGACAGGCGTTTCAACTATTTTTGTTAGACCAGACTCTCAGTCTCACCGATTGACCTGAAGGAAAGTTGGACTGAGGACTTTATTAAGTAGCCGACAACACGTCTTCAGTTGTGGAAAGGGGGATGGGGGTGGTTTCTTTTGTCTGTACTTAATAGGCGGGCGTTGTGTCTGTTTTTGTTGGGCCGGTCTCCCAGTCCACTCATCGACTTGAAAGAGAGTTGGACAGCGGACTTCATTAAGTACAGAAAAAGACCCCCCCCCCCCTTGTCCTAACAACCAAAGATGTGTTGTTAGAGACCCCCCTCCCCGCCCCACCTCTCTAGTTTAGTCTTAGTAAGAGTTTTACGGCACCTTCCTTACGATTAGGTTATATAAGTGCCGAAGATTAGACGTGTTACATGAGCGTAACAAACACAAAAAAGAGAAGGAAGAGAGATTTAAGGACGATAGATATTTGACAGGAAAGAAGCAGCAAACCACACCAGAGCACCCACCAACCACCCACTTACAAGAGAGTAAAAATCACACAAAAAGGAGAGAAAAGGACAATAGATATTTAATTTTTAAATAGAACGAGCAAACCACACCAGAGCACCCGCCAACCACCCACTTACAAGAAAGTAAGAATAACTCAAAAGAAGGAGAGAAAAGGAAGATATATGTTTGATACGAATGAAGGAGCAAACCACACCAGAGCCCCCATCAACCATCCCCTGACAAGAGGTTAAGATACACAAAAAAGAAGGAGAGAAAAGGACGATAGATATTTGATAGGAAAGAAGGAGAAAACCACCCCAAAGCATCCACCCACCACCCCTCCCCCACCCTTCGAGGGGCTATTG